CATTTAGGAAGACCGAGAGAACATCTTGCGAGCTAGAGCTTCTGGAAACGGAGTACTAACATCGCCTTTCAAGCTGTTGAAATCAAATCATCTGGGTGTTGTACTTACTTTTGCCGTGTACAACAGTCATCTTCCTCCCGATGCTATGCCTGAGCAACGCATCAATGCTACTGTGGGGTAAAGAAATATGCAGTTTTTGTTATAGTATGGAGTGAAGTATAGTTCTTTATTATTTTCTTGTATATGCTGCCTTTGGAATGTTCATTTTTCCTTTGTTTCTGTGATGTTTGCTGCTTCATGAAAGGTATCTAGGTGCTTCTTATGATGTTCCATCACTAGTTGCAAAGCTTCTACATCAGCTTGCTAGCAAACAGAATATTGTTGTAAATGTTTATGATACTACTAACAAGTTGGCACCAATTAAGATGTATGGAACTGATGAGGTCGACACGGGGTTACTGCATATTAGTAACCTTGATTTTGGAGATCCAACTAGGAAGCATGAGATGCATTGCAGGTTAGACATTTGTGAAATCTAACCTTGATCTAATTTTATTTTAGCAAATCACGCGCTTCTGAATAAATTTAATTTTTGTTTTGGTCACAGGTTCGAACAGAAACCTCCTCCACCCTGGCAAGCGATAACAGCATCTATTGGAGTACTGGTTATCACTTTACTTCTTGGTCACATCTTCTACGCTGCCATTAATCGTATAGCCAAAGGGGAACGTGGCTATCGCGAGATGATGGCATTAAAACACCGTGCAGAGATTGCTGATGTAGCAAAATCTCAGGTTCATTTTGGATCACATGCACTATGCATTTGAATTTACATGTCATGGAAATGAAAGTTTTTGACTGAATCTCTTTTATTTAGTTATTTAGATGGCGTTGATCATTTATTATCTTCGTTTGATCTTTGGTGCTTTTTCCATCTTTCTTAACATCTTGTTCTCTTTCTGTAGTTCCTGGCAACAGTTTCACATGAAATCAGGACACCAATGAATGGAGTTTTAGGTAATATTGGATTTTTAATTTCCACACACTTGCCACAATGGGGACCTGGAGGTGGGGGAGGTTTTATATTTTCCGTTATTGTCATCAAAGTAACCAAAAATACAATGCAATACAGGTATGCTACAAATGCTTATGGATACAAATCTGGATGCCAGACAACTGGACTATGCACAGACTGCTCATGCTTGCGGAAAAGATCTAATATTGTTAATCAACAAGGTTTTGGATCAGGCCAAGATTGAATCAGGCAGGCTTGAGTTAGAGGCAGTCCCTTTTGATCTGCGAACTGTTCTTGACAAGGTCCTATCACCTTTTTCTGAGAAATCTCAGGAACAGGGATTAGAGGTAGAAAGCCAAATTCCTTCCACCTCTCCTCTTATGTTCATGCTTTCTGTCACCATCTTCATAATTATGGCTGTACTGACATTATTTCTTGCTGCTTTGTTTTTTGTTCATTTGGGGGAGAGAAGTTGGCTGTTTATGTATCTGATCAGGTACCAGAAGTGGTCATTGGAGATCAGGAACGTTTTGGGCAGATTATTACTAATCTTGTTGGGAATTCAATTAAGGTTGGTTAAGAACCTGCCCTTTTGTTTATTTGGTATTTTTCACCATACGCTTTGGCTTTGTAAGAAATTCATGGGCCCAAGAGGTGTGTCACTGCTTGCAATTTCATGTTATTTAAAAGGCAAAATATACTTCAATAAGTCAACCTCTCTTCTCTTGAGTGCCGAGTCAAACCCTGGAATTATAAATAAAGATGTAGCTTCATCTTCTTATTTCAAAAACCTCAAGACCGACTCAAAAGAAAATAAGCAAAAGAGATAAAGACTTGGGACGCAAATGGGTCCTCGACAATGGTATGGAACATCTGGTTGTGCTTCCTATAAAACTATTTTGTGTTTTAAATGACAAGTTTTACTTGTTTGTAGTAGAGGTTATTATCCTTTGTTCTGGTTTCTAATAAGAGATGGGCCAAATTTACCTAATTGCTTTCAGCTTAATGGGATCACTTGCTTCCCTGAAATCTTTCCTCCATCTTAACTCCTTAATAATCAGAATAATGATTGCTACCTCCACATCATGTAAAAAATTTGTCATGTTAATTTAGTTTCCCTTTTGAGCTAAATTCTTATAATCTTAAAAAACTCAAAAAAACTAGTAAGAATGAAAGAAAGGGCATAAAAAAGTATCACGCATCAGTATGGTGCTACAAATTCTGTTAGTATGTCAGTTTTCATTTCTCCTGTACAAAGTGAGGCCATTTCTGTAGTTGTGCTTATAGTGCACCTTGGTACATAATGAAGGTAGTGCACCTTGGTACATAATGAAGGTGTTTTCTATGCTTAGTCTTCTTACTTTTTGTAACAGTAGTTCTCCAGGCAAAGACAATGGCCTCCCCCTCCCCCCCCAACAGCACGTGTTTACTTTGTGTTGTCCATGGACAACTGGTGTTCTGTGAATGGTTGTCCATGTGTGTGGGTGTGCATGAACTTATGTGTGCTTGCACATTTTCACACATCTCCGTTGTTTCTGTGCATTAATCAAAGAGGGCTTTGTATGTATGCACAGGACTACTTGTACAACATAAAAGAGCATAAATTTGTCATATAGTGGCCAAGCCTTTGACACTGAGTCTATAGAACAGACTGTGTTCAAGTAAGGTTGTGACCATGGACAATTGGTGCACTGTGATTGGTTGTCTGTACGTGTGGTTGTGGGTGTGCATGCACGCATGTATGCTTGTACAATTTTTAGGGGTGTTTATGACATCTCTGTTGTTTCTGTGCATTTATCAAAGAGGGCTTTGTATGTAGGCACATGACTGCTGGTACAACACAAGGGCATAAATTTGTTATATAGTGGCCATTCTTTTGACACTTTTATGTTATATAGTGGCCATTCTTTTAGCACCTAGGTGTCTTTCTTTGTGGTGTGAGTTTCAGCTGTTTGGCCATGAGCACAGAAATTACCGCTGTAAAATGTTAAGGGATAAAATCCCACATTGAATAAAGATGTAAACATAAACTAACTTATAAAGGATTGAGTTACTCCTCTTAATAAGGTTGACTTTTTAAGATGGAACCTCAATTCTTAACATAAGATAGGTTTTCAACTTAGAAGAGTGGGAGAAAAGGGGAATTAAGAAAATTATGCATATTTTATTTGTAGTTCGGTGATTTCAGTCTATTATACCATACATTTAAAGTTGTCTTCATCATAAATATGTCAAGACTTTTGTAATGATTTAGTTGTCATCTCTGAAATTTGGTAGTAAATTCTCTTTTACTAGCAGATAGGTTTAGTTGGTATTAGGCCCAAGTTGTAATGTATATCCTTGAGATCGCTGTAGGACTGATTATGTTTGATTCAAAGCATTTTTGATTCATGGATCCTTTATTTGTTTTCTGGAAGAAAAATTAATATTTTTGGTTTTTAATTAATCATCTTCTGTTTATATTGCAGTTCACACAAGACAAGGGGCACATATTTGTCTCTGTGCATTTAGCAAATGAAGCGATGCTTCCACTTGACGTGAATGATGAGGTTCTAAGACAAAGCTTAACCATTGTTCAAGTTGGATCAAATGTTTCTTGCTCTTCATTGAGTGGGTTTCGGGTAGTTGATAGATGGAGAAGTTGGGAAAACTTTAAAAAGTTCAGTGGCATACAAGAGGAAACTGAAAAAATAAAACTGTTAGTGACTGTTGAAGATACTGGTGCAGGGATACCTCTGGAAGCACAAGGAAGGATTTTCACTCCTTTTACGCAGGCTGACAGTTCAACATCACGGAAATATGGTGGAACGGGAATAGGACTGAGCATCAGCAGGCGTTTAGTGGAGCTTATGGGTGGAGAAATCGGTTTTGTGAGCGAACTTAATATTGGCAGTACCTTCTCATTTACTGTGACCTTTACAAAAGCAGAAGCAAATTATTTGAATACAATGCAGCAACAATATGATCCTGCTGTCCCAATATTTCGAGGACTAAAAGCATTGGTCATTGATGAAAGAGGAGTCAGAGCAGAGGTCACAAGATACCATCTCAAGAGACTGGGAATATCTGTGGACATAACTTCAAGCATGGAATCTGCATATTCTCATCTTTCCTGCTATAACAAGACAAGGTAAACTCATTTCCATAATATGCCATGGAGGATGCACAAAATGTCAAAAATAACAAACTACTTCTTGTTCTTAATAAAGCCTTATAGGATATATTCATGTATAACCCTTGCCTCGTGGGTTACATGTCCTGCCTTATTGAATTTATTTGCCTAAATTCAGAAGAATTTTAATGACTTCCTTTATTAAGAAGGAAATGACGAAGTTGATGATATGATTATCATTTTTCATATAAGAAATACGGAAAATTAAAATAATTTGCTTTTCCCTGCAAATGACTAGAATTTTACAGAGGTTCCAAAGTTGTGTTTGAGTAGATATTCTTGTCTCTGCTACCCTAATTATGTTCAACTGGTCGTAATGATAAGGCTGCATTCCAGTAAGATGCGTGCCATCGTTTTTACAAAATCCAGAAAGAAAAACATAACAATATGACATGCTTAGATTGTTGAAGAGTTGTTACCATGGTATTGTGCTTTGACCATGTTTTTGCTAATGGCTCTTAATTATTCTGTCTACAGTATGTCGGAGCATTTAGCTATGGTTCTTGTTGATCAAGACATTTGGGATAAAGATACTTGCTTTTCATTCCATAACCTGCTAAAGACGATCAAACAAAGTGGCTCCAAAAGTAACTCAGGGATCCCTCTGAAAATATTTTTATTATCAACCTGCATAACCTCTACACAATGGAAAGAGCTAAAATTGGACAGGCTAGTGGATAACGTGATAACAAAGCCTCTAATGTTAAGTGCATTGGCATTCACCTTCCAAGAAGCTACTGGATTTGGAAAGAAACACAATGGAAAGAGCTAAAATTGGACAGGCTAGTGGATAACGTGATAACAAAGCCTCTAATGTTAAGTGCATTGGCAATCACCTTCCAAGAAGCTACAGGATTTGGAAAGACAGGGCATAATACAAAGGCTAAACGATCAACAATAAGAACTCTACTCAAAGACAAACAAATTCTGGTGGTGGATGATAATGCTGTGAACAGAAGAGTGGCAGAAGGTGCTTTGAAAAAGTATGGAGCAGTTGTTACCTGTGCAGAGGGGGGAATGTTAGCTGTTGGGTTGCTTAAGCCTCCCCACAAGTTTGATGCTTGTTTTATGGATCTCCAAATGCCTGGAATGGATGGGTAATAAGCTATCTTGCATCTTAGCCATAAAATTTCTCAATAATTCATAATTTAAATGCTGTGCAATATACTCATGAACCCAATGTTGATTTCGAAACTCAAAATTGTAGATAGTTGTACATCTTGTATGGGTCTTAAGTTTGAACCCTGGCATGAGTTAATATTGTGAATCACTTCAGGTATAGATGCCAAAATTGAAGTAATGCCTTTAGACAGTGCTTCGTTATTGACTAGACAGTGCTTCATTTGTATCAGCTGAAACCATTTTTGAATTTGATCTTGGGTATAAGATGATTGTGCTCTTGAATATGTATGCTTCTACTTCTTCCTGACCAACCTGGTTTGGGAATTGTTCCTATTGATTTCATCTTTTTAGGAAAAAATGACGACATTTAATATTATTGATCTTTGTCTTGCAGGTTTGAAGCTACTAGACAGATCCGTAGTCTTGAGTGTGAATATAATGAAAAAATTGATTCTGGTGAAGTATCAGTTGATATGTCCGAAAATTTGGCTCATTGGCACACACCTATTTTAGCTATGACAGCAGATGTGATTCAAGCAACAAATGAAGAACTCGTGGACTGTGGAATGGATGATTATGTATCTAAACCATTTGATGAAGGGCAGGTTTATTCTGCTGTGGCACGCTTCTTTGGGACTAAATGATTTAGATTTGCCGATTTTGCTTATGATGGGAAGCCTAGATTTCAAGTTAATTGCTGACTGATTAAGGGACTGCAGTTGAGGTATCTGGCAGCCACCACCGACTTCCCTCTCTACTACCCAACTCTGCCACGACTTGTCAGAATCGAATCCTTGCTCATGTCATGTAATTTTCCACTCTTAAGGTAATTTTCCACTCTTGCTTTGAGGCTTTGAAATTTCTTGTGCGTCAAGTGAATATTCTTAGAGTGTTTTCCTCTCTTTTCTGTTTGAACTTTTAGTGTGCGTTATCTAACGACATTCCGATGATAGGGGTTTCTTTTCTTTTTTTCTTTTTAAATTCAAACCACACATGCTGGCACATTTTGTTAATAACATAAGTAAAAAAGTACGAACTTAGGAGGGGGCTAGGCTAACCTCTAGATAAAAAGTAGAACTTACCCCGCTCAAAGACTACAAGACTAAAAGAAAAGGCAAAAATTATATCTTGTTTGACTTCATCCCACCACGGGACTTCTGTGTGTCTCGCGATATACTTGTAAGAGTCTTTGTCTGAATCTAATTAAGTTGTGACTACTTAATGAACAACTCTGAAAACGTTTAGGTCATGATTTCTCTATTTTGATTCCTTGAAAATTTAGCAAATGTATTACAGAATATGATATGTGACATGGATGTTCATCGAATTTATCATCATTTCTTTCATGCAACTAGCTTTAAAATTATAAATGTAGAACTGGTTTCTGAAATTTATGACCATGCTTCCCTAAAATTCATTTCCTTGAGAAGTCTTCGTGTACTTGCTGAGGGTAAAAACTTTTAAGATTGACTTGCTCAATAGGAAATTATATACTTGTCACACAGATAATTAGAATTCTCCTTCCAAAATGTGTGTTCTGTGCTTCGAAATATTACATATAATATCCCAGTCGATGAAGTCATCTTCTGCACTACGCATACTTATATATTGAAAAAATCGTTTGAATATGGTTATGGATGCAGTGATCGTTATTATTTATATTTCCAGGAATGGAGGCTGACTACCATGATAGTGCAGTGAGGGATGTTATGATCAGCTCCACGGAAATAAAAACACGAGGAATATCCGCCGACTTCATATGGTCTATCCCAGTTTTCGTGTCATATTTATTGTACAGCGCTACTTCGTGGAAGAAGCACGTAAAACATAAAATACAATGATCATAGCCTATACTTATGAGATTAATAATTAGCTTTCATCTTCTTGAGATTAGTTTGGAAATTGTATCGATTAGTAATTTTTTCTTTAGCATCATATAGTGCCGATTTCAAGATTCATGTTGTAAAATGTAGTTATAGTGACAAATAATACTGATTCATGTTCATATGAGAAAGGCTTGTTACGATCTCTAGCATCGGTCATTGCAAGATGTTTGGAAGTTTTATTCTTTTCAGTTATTATTTGCAGCTGAGATTCTGTATATAGATTTATAACCTGTTTTTGTTGGAAATTTAATTGAGATTCTTGATTCTTTATCTCAAGATCCAAGTGGTTGTCATATATGAGAGAACCAGGCTTGCAGTGGACAAATTCATGTCGAAAAGCAACTGACTCGCCCTCGTGCTTCTCACGGTCGAGATAGACTTGACCATCAGATTATGATGCGTGGCATGGTCAAGGTGTTCTCCCGTGTCAAGTTCATGAAGACCCACAAGTAGGTCGTGTGAAACTTGACTATCCAAGAATCAAATTCGATGATGAGTGAACAACTGTTGTTTGTCCACTTGGCTAGAGAGTTTTAACCATGTAACAATAGATAAAATTTCATTTTATATCTTCAAAAAATAGCCAATAAATACTATCAAAATTAATAGTAACTACTTGCAAGATAAAATTGTAATCCAAAAATATATTCACAGCATATTAAAAATGAGTAAATGCGAGCCTGTGTCTTTTTCTCAGTCTCCACATTTCTCTTTACCCAACTTAGTGGCTGCCAGTGCAAAGTTTATTTCTTCTTTATTTCCAACTATTTTCTTAATTTCCTTGTACAAAATATTTCTTTCTTTTATTCTAGTACAACGTGTTGCCTTTTCTCTCTCTCTCTCTCTCTCTCTCTCTCTAATTATGTGCACGTCCCTCTCCATTCCTACATGGGATGGAATATTTCAATAATCTTCCAGAAATTATTGAGGTTCTTATATGGTACCATAAAGTACTTAAAAAATGTAGAATGATCAATGATGATTAGTGTAAATTAGTGCTTGTTTTAAAGTGTTTTAAACGCGGCCGTAAACTTCAGGGTCCCGTGGAATTAGTCGAGGTGCGCGCAGGCTGGCCCGGACATCCACGGTTATAAAAAAAAAAGTGTTTTAAACGCTTATAAATTATGAATCCTATGAGACGTGTAAGTAATAAGAGTTCGTTTGAGACCAAAATATGCAAAAATCATTTTTCTCGCTTAACAGCGCCCTAGCGCCACGCTTGGCGCCACGATGATGTTGAAATTTTAGCTATAGTGGCCTTGTGGCCACTTTCGGGTATTTTTATGATAATTTTTTCTCCTGACATCCGATTGAGATGATTCAAAATGAGTTGGAAAAATAACTCAAAGGGCTACAACTTTATTTCAGATAACTTTTCCAATTTAAACATTTACTATGTCAAAAATGGGTCTCAATCTTTGTCTAAAAATGTGAAACATATTTGTGTGGTTGAAAATTGATTTATGAAAATATTTTCATCACATTTCACTCTTTTTGACTTCCAATTGCATCCGGATGACTCTTAGCAATCTTCAATTATAGTTTTGTAGTCCGAATCAACTATTGAAAAATTACAATTCAATCTTCGAACTTTGGATTACACTATTTTTCATCGTTATTCACTTATTTCTTTCAATTTAGCCCCAAATCATCAAGTTTCACAAAACCAACATCATCTTCTCCTTTATTCATGCCAGCATCACTCTTTTTTCTATTCACACCAATTCACCTAACCTATAAAATAACATTAAAACGTCCTAAAAACTCTTAAAGACAATCAAAATAACAAGTATAAGAGGCAATAAAACAATGCGAGAACTACACTCATCAATATGAATAGGCAAGGCAGTGCTTTCTTATAATATAACTGTGTCGTCTGAGATATGAAGTGGCATGTTAGAGATTTTATGCCTCTAGATTTTGAACATTTGAATGATAAGAAATTGAACAATCGAGGATTCAGGTCCTTATTCGAGCAAATAAAATAATAGTCCTTCAGTCACTTTCACAGGAAAACAGCTTGCAGTCTAGACACTTGTTCTTGCTATCAATTTTTTCTGCTGTGAATGGACTTATTGTCATAAGCTAGTCTTTGTCGGGCTCAAAGTGCAACCACCTTTGAATTTATCTATCACCAACTGATGCATGAAAAAGAGAGCTGGTGTAGCTAGGAAGTTGCTAATTGGCAAGAGTGAGTTCAATTCAACTAAAATTGAAGTTACAAGAATTCAGCACATCTCCATCCCGGTCCCAGATTTCATTGAGGAAAGAT